TATATAAACAAACCCTATAGTTAAAATTTGTTTTTAACAATATCTCAACAACCACCAGACCAATTTTAACAATTTAACTACCATTAGGTGCGTCTCGATGAGCTCTACAACTTTTACTTAATTTATATGAGTTATTAACTTAGTAAAAAATCCCGCTATTTCAGAAAATATTTTGGTTAATGTTATACAAAATTTTTCTTCAGTTCAGTCAAGGATCATCAATTAAGTAAACAGATGTTCAATATAAATAAAAATATAGTCACTAATAAGCAAACCAATTGGATATTAAAACAATTTAAAAAGCTGTATTTGAGATTATAATAAAAAAAATTAGATAACTAAATATATAATATAATAGATTTTATTTAAAACTAGATAAAATTAAATAATATAATCTTGCAATTCATAATAAATTTGAGTGCATTTTGCTTAGTAAATTTTTAAAATATATACTTTATTTTTAATGATTAGTATATATTTTATAAAATAATTGATGTTCTCTGTTTAATTTTCATGTGAGCGAGGCATACTCATACCAGGTTCAGATCGGATCGGGCTTCACCTATTCGGGTACGGGTTTACTCTTGGACCCGAATCAGTTTTCTGGTTCGGATCTGGATCTTTGCTAAAACCCAGTGTCATGCGTTAAATTTTACTTTCTATTTTTATTATCATTATATAAATTTTTTTTTATTTTTCTTCTTCTTTATTTAGTTAGTATTATCGTTATGTTATTTTATATTTCTCTTATTTTGGGAAAGGATCGCTGTAGTATGGTAGGTGGATTAAATCCCCAATAAATTGATTAAATCCCCAATCGATTGATTAAATCCCCAATCGACTGATTAGATCTCTAAACGACTGACTAAAACCTCAAACAAAAGTAATATTAATCGAAAGATATAAATAGGCTGAGTTTCAGCATGTAGAACAGAATCAATTATTGCTCGTAGTAGTTTACAGTTTCAGTTGTATTCATGTTTGGGCATAATTCGATTGTATTAAATTTATTTGAGAAACTTTAATAAAAGAGAAACCTTAACCCGTAATTTTAAAAGTCAATTTATAATTTTAAATTATATTAAACTCGCGATTATACTACGTAAATTTTCTTCCGATCTACCTACCACGTGATATACATAAGTTGCCGTACAATTCATATCCATTTTTTGTTCACGATCGAAGCTAAACCGGACTTAAATATCCCAGAGCTCTCCCACTCGACCGTAACACCGGCCCGAACCGCCCCGTAACGAACACTAACACCAGGAGTCGAATTTTCAATACTCTGAACCACTTATTCCACAGACCGAATGAATCCATACCAGTTAACTATCGGGTCCCCGATAGGTCTCCTGTCGTTTACAGAGAGCCAACTGTATTCGGAAATATAGTGCTGTATTTGACTAGACATTCTCTTGAACACGACAATTGATCATGATTAATTATAGTTATTAAAATTTAACCTTTATTTATGCCTAATATCGACCACATTACAAATGTTGTCGCCTTTTTTTTTAAAAAAAAAATATATATCAAATCCATTGATAATCGCAAAAATTAAAGGTTCTTTTTATAAAATTATTAGGTGAGATAAAATTAGAAAGAAATTAAAAAAAAAGTTATTCTTTATATAATGTATAATTCGTATTAAATAAAATAACTTCGTTTTTTTTTTTTTTTTTTTGCTTTTTTTTTAAAACTAAATTAATTACGAATCACACCTGTTATCAGTACTGTACATACTGACTAGATCTACGCATAATAAAATATGTAGAGAAATAATGTTGACTCTGATCATTAATTAGTCATTAGTTGAGTCCTATACCAAAACCTATGCATTTCAATATTTGAGTGAATTCCAATATCAGATTTTCTTTGTAATGTAATTATTATAATTAGTATGCGTTGTACTAAAAGATGGTGGTATCAAACTGATCAATGGAACTGTATGCCCATTCATTGTAGGAACGTTAGAAGTAGGCCTAGGTCGACGAGAATGAGAAGGTGGTGGAGGATTTATAAAAGACGATGGATTATTTAATTGATTATATGAATTTTGAGATGGTGATGAAATTGAAATAAGAGGTTCGATTGCATTTGTTGAACGTCTTTTTGTTAGAGTTGGTAAATGTGGGGAAAGATTAGTGTTCGGATTTTGGGATGGTGGTGTGATAGAAATTAAAGGATCAATATCATTGATCGAACGTCTTTTTATTGGAGTTGGTGAACGTGAAGAGAGATTGCTATTTGAACTATTGGATGAACTATTGGATTTTGGAGATGGTGGTTTAACTGAAAACAAAGGATCAACATCATTAATCGAACGTCTTTTCGTTGGAGAATGTAATGAAAGACTATTATGAAACGAACGTGGTTGGAAATTATGATGCGGTGGTGCAGTCAAAAGTGAAGATGAGCTATTTGACGAATTTTTTTTTGTTGGGGTTGGTGGACCTGATGAAAGATTATTATTATTAGTAGTTGAAGTCCTTGAATAAAGCCAACTATCTGATGAAATTGTGGAGCTACGTTTTGGGTTAAGGCTATTATTCTGAATTAAAGTGGTTGGTTTGGATTTAGGTTGATAAACAGGTTTATCCGGCGTCAACATTAGATTTACTGAAGAGCGTTTATTACTACCAGAATTGTTGTATGATTTAGAATTTCCACTACTTTTCTGTTTTTCAGCCTCTTTTCTACAAGCCATTCCGCAGTAATCAACTTTCCTACCATTTGAAAGGATCAGCCTTGGTGAAATCCCACAGTGACGACATCTTTCTCTATCAACTAAACCAAGAAAATAAGCTTCTTTTCTACAATTTTCTGAACAAAATCTACTTCTCGGTTCTGATGATAGTTTATCTGTATCTATGGGAGTAACTTTACATACATCGCAAAACGTCAAATATTCCATCTCGTTTTTGCGTTATATGCGTGTAAATAAATGAATGAATAAATATGATGACATATGCACGGTCGGATAAGTCGTCTCGTTGATTGAAGAAAAAAAAAAAAAAAAAAAAAAAGTGAGAGGCATATCATATATTCTTGCTATATAAAAAGTATGATGATTGTGAAAGTTGCGGGGTCTTACACCTTACACGACAATAATTGGTGCTATATAAGGGCATGTAAAACATGTAAAATTTATTTATTTTTTGTTTGTTATGCATAATATTTCCTAAATAATGACCTATCAAATTCACAATAGAAACTTATTCTTATCACATGTAACTTCATTATGCGTAATTTGTCAAATAATAGAACCCCACAGAAAGTACACCAATAAATGTCTTGTATATGCAAAGTTTAATGCATTCAACTCTGTGGCAACAAAGCTAAAAGTTCTATAGGTTGAATTTAAGAATATTTCTATTTATAATTTAATAATGTAAATTCCAACAAAGCTAAAGAGTTACATTGATTAAATTTAAATTCATAACATATATTTATATTATTAAATAACAAATAATGTAAATTTTGAACCTTTAAACATAATTAATAATTAATAATGATTAACGTTAACAATTCTGTAAGCGTCGATCTTCAATACTCAATGGAAGATAAATTATGATGAAAAAATAAAAATATTAAGATAAAGATTGGAAATACGTCTATCTGTGTAGTAATTAAACCATTATTTAGTATCAACAGTTTGAATAATTAATGTTAACATCCGCTAAGTTTACCAGCTTGATACGCTAATAGCATAGAAGCAAACATTAAACCAAGTTGTTTGTAATCAAATTTGATTTGTTCTGACCAAAAAATTAAGTCACTGCTTTGTTTGTACATTTTCGATGATTCTTTAGGTACTACATTATCACCGTTCTTATTATGATTAATTTCGGTATTATTAATCTCGGTCGAAAGGGATATTTTCTTGGAGGTATTTGGTTGTATGTCAACCTGCTTTAAGAGATGAGAAGTTTTATAAAATTTATGGCTTGTCGGTGACAATAAAATAAAATAATAATAATAATAATAATAATAAATATTTACTTTGCTTATTTGTTGATCTTGGTGCACTTGAGGTACTTCTCGTGTTCTTTTTGATTGTACATCAATCTATTGTAGGAAAATGAAAAGTTTTATGAGTATCTATGGTTTATCGGTTACGAAAGTATTAGCGTGTTTACCTTGCTTACTGATGCAGTGGTAAGCTTATTATCTCCATTTTCGTTCTTATATATCGGCCTCAATAATTTGCTTCCATTGTATGTAATTTGAACCTCTCTAGATGTGTTCTTAGTTATTAATATAGATAACTCTTTTGCATTAATACCGGCCGGAACGGTGATACAGAAAACACCACTATCATTTGGATGCAAGTCAACCTTAACATCCGTCGGTCGAATAGAAATGTTCAAACCATTAGAATACATTTTATTTGATGTTCGAAGTTCCGTGATTCCTTTTTCTTCACCATTATTTGTCAATATTAAATCATACTGAAAGTTGTCTGTATTAAACTCCTCGTGTATTATTTCTCCAGTTGTATATCGAATATACGGTGGAAATCCAATATTTTTCAATAACTCATCAATCTTAACAACGCACATTGGCGTCTGCATTGAAATTGACTTCAGGACTCTCGATGGAACTGAGTCAAGTTTAATATCAATGTCAACAATATATTTAATATCAACTGCGATTCTGTTACCAGCACTATCATAGACAGGTCGTAATTCCCATCCAGCGAGATTTAACTCTGCCCGAACATATTTTTTGTTTTCTGGAATTTTGGAATCAACAATCGATTTAGCGACACACCAGATCGTACCATCCGGATCACGATCAATCGTACAGATCATCGCAAAATCACGACCACTAAAAAGAAATTAAAATTATTTAGTTACATTTCATTTTTCTGATAAAACAGTTTAAGAATTAAATGTATCCGTAATTTATATTTATATATTTAGCAATTGAAACAGGGAAATATATAGTACATATATTACAGAGAACCTTCTAAATGCACTCCTCAAACTGGATATATAAGGTGCACTTAAGGAGGGTTCTCATGTTTACCTGATGGGGAAGGTACCTTTCATAGCTGATCTAGTCATCACATCGGTAAGGCTATATCGTTCAACTGTAGTACCCTCTTCGTATCGATCATCCCCTGCATCGTGTACCGATGTCAATAAAAACAAGATTATACCAAAATTTTAAAAAAATGACCTGTAAATAACCTACACAATTTTCTCGCGTCTAAAGAGGTGGTATATGAACAAATATCATCTGGAAGAAAATCACCGTAAATAGTAATATCTCCACGCATACATGGTACAGATTTACCAGGAATATCCTTTAGGTAAACCTTGACTCCCTTACTTTCTGAATACAATTCCCAACTATTTTGGTCTCTTGCCAATGATTTAAGCAACTTGATAGCCTCCAACGCGGTATCGTAATGAGGATGTAATTTCACTTTTTTTACGGTCGGCAGTTCTAATACAGGTGGATCCGATTTAGGTTCTTGAGGCAACT